TTAAAAGAGCTATTATTCTTTCATACATATTTTTCGTGTATCTTGAACCGTTTTCACAGCGCACGCAACGGAAGGCTTCAAAGATGAAATAATTTCTCCCGTTTTTACACATTTACCACTATATCTTTGCTCCTATTGGTCGTAGCGTGATGTTATATAGCCTACAGCCTTCCTCGATAACTGGACTATCCAACACAAAAAGAATTATTCAATTCGATCCAGTAGTTTTGGAGATTAGCGCTTTCAAACAAACAAACAAACAAACAAACAAACAAACTTCAGCTTTATAATATTAGTATAGATAACACATTTCTTAATTTTTTAATAAAATGTTCTCATATTTTTATATGATTTTATTCCCGATATTTGACTATGCAGAATTTACGTAACATCAAACTTGTATAATTTTTTATTTTTTGACAATACTTTTTCGTCTTTTTATAGATTACTAGCTTTCCGCCCGCAGCTTCGCCGCGTGGAGTTCGGTTATATCGCGTTTCCAAGAGAACCTTTCAAAAGTCTGGGATAAAAACTATCCTATGTTCTTTCTCAAGGTCAACTCTATATGTACCAAATTTCATTAAAATCAGTTCAGTGGTTTAGGCGTGAAAGCGTAGCAGACAGACAGACAGACAGACAGACAGACAGACAGACAGACAGAGTTACTTTCGCATTTATAATATTAGTAGGGATAGGATATTGGACTCAAAATAAAAACTTTTTTGTTCTAACTACAAGTTTAGACGATACACTGAGTCTCACTTGGCCTTTTGGTCAAATTAATAAACAAAAAAAGGATTTATTTCTTTAAAAATAAACTCTTCATTTCTTCGAATTTGGTTTTTTTATATATACGTCCTTTAAATAAACTTTAATTTTTTTGGAAAAATTCTCATTTTCACTCGACTGTGTTTATTGTTGTGTAAAGAAATAGTTAAGTGTAATAAATCACGAATGTCTGTTTGTTATTTGTTCCATTATGACACGAATTAATTATTATTGGTTTTACTGAGTTTGTAACAACTGATACTATTTAGTTATTGCGACATATTGTTTGAATATCAGACGTAGTTCAATGCAGTCTGTCTGAGAACGCAATAACAATTATTCTAACATGGATTCAATACCTTTTATTAATGTATAAGTAATTATACAAAAATATCGGAGAGGTAAATGTTAAACGGTAGTTGAGAATTATGCTACGTCGTGAATGATTCAATGAAAAAAGTATCAAATACTATGTAATGAGATTGTACGATGTGTGAATAGTTATAATGAGATATGTCTATTATGTAACATAGGAACAAAAAGCCAACATCACGCGGTGTTCCCAGGCGGTCACCCATCCAAGTACTGACCGCGCCCGACGTAGCTTAACTTCGGTGATCGGACGAGAACCGGTGTATTCAACGTGGTATGGACGTTGGCAGACAGACATACACAAGTGTTCTCCCGGCCCTCCTCACGAGTCCCTAACAAACGCGAGGAAATTCATGCAAGTTTAAAAAGTAGGTATATCGATAAATATTCGATCGATATTTTCAATATTGCTATAAATAGTTATGCTTTTCACATTAAAATAATTTCATTAAAAATATCTTTTATTAATAATAAATGTTATTAATCAATATTATAATTATTAATTTGGAATTTCTTCAGGTAAATTAACCATGTTGTATTATAAGGATAAATCGTTAATCTACTTCTGTTAAAAATTGTGTTTTACAATCAAAAATAATATTAATATTTGATATATCAAAATATGTATCGAAATAATATGAATATTAAATATTTATTTATTGTTATGATTTTTAAATATCAATATTTTTTTATTCGAGCCTATGCCGCCCTTTTCATAAATTTTTTTTTATTAGTTAGTGGAAATTTCTTCGGAGTGGATTACTTTTTGGTTACGGTTTTATAAAATTGTGTTATTTTATAAAATGTACTCCAACCAGGAATATTTCAATATGTTAATGTGTCTAGGGAAATGTGATTGTAATTATGCGGAATCGCGTAGACTTTATGACGAACTGTTTGCTTCTCCAAGAATCATACCATTACCGTCACTTAAGGCATTTCAGCGTCTTCATATACGCATGTATAATTTCGGAAATGTCGATGGCCGTGAACAACAACGTGCTAATGCGGGAAGGCCGAGGGTTAATAATGACGATCTAGAGGAACACATATTAGATATTTTTCGCCAGGACCCTACGCAAAGCACGCGCTCGGTGGGACATCAACTCGGTGTCAACCATACGCGTGTATGCAAAGTTTTAAAGGAAAATAGCCAGCACACGTACCATCATCGTCGAGTACAGTTTTTAATTCCTAACGACTTCGAGCCTAGGATGGCATTCTGCAGATGAATTTTAAACGAAAACGATAAAAATAGTGAATTGTCGAGCCGTATACTTTTTAGTTAACTAAGTGTTATTTTAAATTGATTCGTAACATAGTGAAACGTATGATATTTGAAAAAAGTGGTATCAGTGAATCGTTAAAGTGATTAAACAATCAAAATAATGTGAATGTACGTTCGAGTTCGTCACTAGTAGCGCAGCAGGTGTGATGGAACCATTGAGTCTCAACGTGTTATACCAGGGCTTACAAACATTTTGTTACTCTACATATAATAATCATTTAATATTTAAGTTTATTATTTTTATTGAAGAGTTTGTAAATGTAAGTTGTTTGATTGTGTTGGCAACAGAATACAGATACGACGAAGCTTTAATTTGTCATAATAATTATTACATCGCAGCTACCTTGTTGGTCCACTCTCTCAAAACATTTTTCAAACATGCGACTAAAGAATTAAACTTAAAAATTTGTAAAAGATTGATTGAAGACGAGTTAGTTGCCAGTATAAGTCGATCATTTTAGTATATAATTCACCTCTTGTATTATAATAAGCTCATTGAGTATTTCTAGTGAGCGTCAATTCTATAAGATACTTCAAACATCCCGACCACTATTAGTTCTATGTCAGTAACTCTTCATGTACTCCGTCTCCTGCTCCAAGCTCCACCAGATGTCTCTGTCACATCTCTTGTAATATTTACATCGAGGTCATGAGGTTTCATCTCTCCTATACACTCTCCTACGTGTCTCATACAAAGACATTTCTTCTCGGCCTTTTATCTAAGATCATAATGTAGTATCTGTTCTTTTCATCTTAATATCTCTAAGTTCCCGCATGTCGGGATCAGTAATCAGTATATTAAACTGTTTGTAAACCGATGGGATATTCGGGGCTCGCTCCACTCCCTTCACCAATAACACACACCGTAGCCAATAATAAATGAGAATTAAGCTACGACGTGAATGACTCAATGAAAAAAGTCTCAAATACTATGTCAGGAGAATGTAAGATGTGTAAATAATTGAATAAAGATATATTAATATATAATAAAGGAACAAAAAGCCAACATCACGCGGTGTTCCCAGGCGGTCACCCATCCAAGTTCTGACCGCGCCCGACGTTGCTTAACTTCGGTGATCGGACGAGAACCGGTGTATTCAACGTGGTATGGACGTTGGCAGACAGACATACACAAGTGTTCTCCCGGCCCTCCTCACGAGTCCCTAACACATACACGTAATAACTAATATTAAACATAGAATAACCCAAGGAAGTAAGCACTGATTTTTTCTTTCAATTTACATACTTATATCTTAAAAATTGCTCCTTAAATCCTCCATCGGAATCAGTAATTGCTCTACTTCTAAAAAAATAATTAGTTGATTTATAATACTTACTGTGTGTCATATTTTATGTATCAAATTTTTGTGATGCAAGCTTTCACTTCGTTAGGATTCTTTCATTATTACAATAATATTTATATAACTTGCAAAACTCGCCGTTTGTATCAATCCAATAAGTTGGTATTGAAATCCATACGTCATAAAAACATTTTTTATTTGCTTATTAAATCCTGATTTAGTCAACATAAAAACTAATGGATTTTTTTTGTATGTTAGAGGTGGCATACCAGCAGAGGGCCTACTTGGTGGGAAGTCCAAGCCGCCCATGAACATCCGTAATATGTGTTACGTTGTGAATGTGCTGCAGACCTTTCACGCCTCTCCTTCAGCGATCAACAAATTGCAAGTGCTGCAAAATAGAGTCATGCTCACAGTCAAAAGAGCACACTCCGATCTCCATAGGTACCTCCAACCAAAAGAGTTAGGGGTGGGAATAAGGAAATGGCAGGAAAAGGTGGGAACAGGGAAAGAACACCGGCTTTTTCATTAATGGGATGAAACGCAGCCATTAAATACTATATCACGCTGATCTTCTATGAGAGAGTGGTACTTCTTCGGTCGAGCCAGCCCGTGTTTGAGTTGGATTATTGCTATTTTTTTCATTTATATTTTCATATACATATATTCTAACAGTTAGGCATAATAAAGTATGGGTTGCATAAATAAAATATCATTAATGTTTAAATATTCATTGTTATATATATTTGAATACATCAACAATCACAAAATCTACATCAAACATCTAATAGTGATTCATTCACTACAGTGTATATCCAATACATCAATGTAAACACTTATATAGATAGATGTAAACACGCCCTAATGGCGGGAAAGTAAACACGAGTACAAGGTATAAAATATATTCAAGATGGCGGCGTTACACGTACAATAAAACATCCATTATGAAGAAATATAACTAGAAAAAGTTGAATCTCAAACACAGTCGCGGTATGGAAGTTGTATTAAGTACATTGGACATTACGATTAATAATAATCGAAACTTACTTTAATAATAAACATCAAAAACATGTAGAATATTATAGGACAAGATTTATTAAAAATTCAATATCTTTTTTTTATTTGATGGCAATAATTTTAAACATTTGTGCATATAACTAGTAACCTTGAATGTCGTGTGTTACAAAGATAATTTCTATATGAAATAAATAAATTGTAAAACTTTGTTTGTTTAAACAAACTTCTATATTGTTTATGGCATCGGATTTTGTCTATGGTATTTCTAACGCCATAATGCATAACGAGTCGTGTGGAGGTGGGACCTTGAAGATTGGTCCATTCTGGTCGCAATGCTCTGAGTAGCGAACCTTCTGTAGAACTCTCAAACCCAGGCTGCTGCAAATACGCTGGGAATACGCCCCAGTAGCATCCACTTTGAACAACTGTATCAGAATATTAAACTTCATTATTAATAAGGAAGTGTTTCTTTTGGAATGTTAACATATAGTGATTTTTTTCATACCAAATGTCAAAGCCAAAGTATTCTAACCGTAAGTTACAAGCAGGAACAACTATAAGACATAATACGAAACTTTACGATGAAGAAGGAAATATTAATTAGAACGTCCTGTTAAAGTGATAATGATATAATATGATTTTTTATACTCAAAATATGACAAAGAAAATATTCTAATCGTGAGACATAAATAAATCCTATTGGAACTTATACGAGCAAAGCTCAGTAGTTCTATCCTAATGACCTAACCAAGTTATATTCTTTGACTGACCTTAGCAGCTTTGTAAAGCAGCAGCAGAGTATTTTGTAAAATACTCGATCTTTAACCCTTAACAACCCAGAATGCTTTTGATACGTAACTGACCGGTAGTGTCCAACAGACACATTTTATAAATGTATGGTATGATGAAAGAAAAATATATTGAAAGAGACAGTTTAAGATGATCTTTCTAGAACCTTAATTTACTAGTCTCTGACCTTGAAGCCATGGTCCATGGCTATTTGAATGCTTCTCTTCATCAGCTCCTTGGCAAGTCCACGACCACGCGCGTGTTCCGACACGGACACGATACGACATTCCAGAACACGGTCCACACCAAAAGTCTGGAATAATTCCAGGTCACGGCTCACGGTGTACAGGATGTTGAAAATCTGGAAACAAAGCCACATGTATTAGCACATCATCATCAGCCTATCAGGGCCCACTGCTGAGCTGCCTCGTCTCACATGGAGAAGGTTTGAGCATTAATCACCATGCTTGCTCAAGACGGGTTGGTGATATCAAACTTATAATTGTGAAACTATAAGTCCAGGTTTCCTTACGATGTTTTCCTTCACTGTATGTCAGTGGTGTCTACGATAACATAATAATTATTGGGAAAATATTTTAAAAAAAATCTAACGGGGACAGAAATATACTTCCAAATGTGTGGAAAATGAAGAAATGTTCAATAACTAATAACCTTTCTAACTACAATTGTTGTAAAATAAACTACCACTGATGTGTTTTTCTATGATCTTCTCTATCATCCTGTCAAAGTCCCACTAAAATCTATTCATTCATATCAAAAGTTACTCTGACTTAGCAGAAAATAAAAGATATATTTTACATTGACTTTAATTACGGGCTATTTATCAATGGTCCAATAGACCTTATTACATGTATTATTTTAATTTTAAGCTATATAAAATTCGTTAACCTTGTTATATTTTTCGTCCGAGGACTGGTGAATCTTCTCAATAGACTGCTCGATGTCCCCGGGTCACAAAACACCATTCAGGGCCACTCCGAGGACCTTTGAAGACACATAATCATCATTATCCTGATAGACAGATTCCTCTCCTCAAACCAGGTCTTATTGTTCAAAGACTAACACATAATACTTTACAAAACTGTTATTCTCAAGTCTCAATCTTCTAGATTGACATCTAAAGTCTTATAAGCACGTAAATATACAAATGTTAATTTGAACTCATAACTGTTAAATGGTTAGTAGTAAGTTGTTTTGTAATTCTTAATTCTAATAGGTAAATGATTTATTATTCGTAACTTTATTCCATTTATATTAAGATATACCAGATAATTTTGGCATTAACTTACGGTATCCCTTTCAACAGCAGCAACGGATAGTCCATCAGCAATTGTGGCAACGCAGAGCCTCTCAAGAGCAGCATGAGGTTGTCCTCTTTGACACAAGCCAACAGCCTTGTTCAGAGGTTCATCAGCGAAGAAGCTATCCCGCAAGTGACGAATCACAGCCTCGCGCATGTCTTGAGTCACCGTGATAAACTGCACCATTGTGGTGTATGGAATACTAGAAATAGATCATTGAATAACTATTTAATATTACTTCTTATTATATTTTTAGTCAAATCATGTCTTAAGCCCTGATTTTTTTGTTTTATGCTAAAGTGGGCAACCAAGCAGACGGTCTACCTGATGGAGGTAGTACCGTCGCCCATGGACATCCGACATAGATTTGCGGATGTGTTGCAATCCTTGATTGGATAAGACGGGGAGGAAAGGGTGGGAAAAAGGGAAAGGGCAAACCGGCTCTCTCACTCATCGAACGAAACGCAGCTATTAAAGGCTACTTCACGCCGATCTTCTGTGAGAGGGTGGTACTTCCCGGTCGAGCCAGCCCATGTTCGAGCTGTAGTAACTTGACCACAGCTAGGCTTTACCACCTCAGATTTCTATATCAACGCACTAGAAAACCTCATATCGTCTATCGATCTTACTTTACTAAACAACCAATGAAAATTGAGCTTATAAAACATTTATGAAGGAGAATTTTTTCGTTATTCCATAAGGAATATAATAAATAAAGTACAAATACCGTTTTCAATAAGAAATTTCAATTAAGAGGACCTCAACGTGTACGCGCGGCGGGGATCTAAAGCGTTCCAGATATTAGGTCAAGGCTGAAAGGTCGGATCGAACCCAGGCCGTTAGATAGTGTCTATTATTATTGAAAAAAACAACTAAAGCTACAATAAAAAACATGTAACCTTCAACCTGAGCTTTCACGATAGATATTTATTATTTAAACCTTTAAAAAGATATAAAATCAATATGGATTACGTACTTCTTTGAAACAATGAAGGGAATTGATAAATAATGCTATCGAAATTGATTGAAAAATCTCTTAAATATAGACTTTTGATGTCCTTAAATCTCAATATAATGTTTTATTCATGTAAATATAAAATCCATTGTATATATATGACACGTGTAGTTCTAAGTCAATTTATTTGAGAGCCGGCAGCGAGGCTGTTAGAGCTTCAGCGCGTAATAAACCTTTCTATAGAACGTAAACTTATGTTACAATATACCTCGTTAAGTTTCCTTGTTCAACTAAATAACTTTGCTCTATTAATAATGGAACAATATCTTTATAATGTATGAGATATATTACAAAAATATTCAGTTACAAAGATGAAAAATATAATGTAATATTGCAACAGTTAATCAAGAAACAAAGACAGGCATCGTCTTGTAATTAATTACGTTGAGAGGCGACTTCAGAGTCACGAAGGAAGAAAATCAAGTCATGTTGTATTATATAGAACTGAAATGTATTATTATTATATTTATTATAATATAAGAAATTATTTTTAAGTATACATACTTCAGCGGAGTATTAAGTAATAATGAAGAATGCGTTCTATATAAAATTATGAATAACTTAGTACAAATCATACTCTCGTGATATATGCGTATTAAAATTAGTTCTTTAAAATAATCAACATAAGTATATCTATACTTAAAAAGTTTTAAATCAAAATCAGAAACTATTGATAATATTATTTTAATTTTCATCATCAAAATACGAGGTTTAATGAAAAAATATTTCAAAACGAACTATCTAGTACTCGTCAATCTTTGTACACAAGCGCCTGGGAATGACAGTCCATTAGTGTTTTTGATGTACAGGGTACATATGTCGACAGAGATTATGAAAGTTAAAGGGAAGCTGTGTCAAAGAAAATAAAAGAAATATTGTATACAATTCAAACAACACTTGAGTTGCTTACTGTACTGTTCCAATTGATTAGATTCAGGAGAATCCTTAAAGATTGGATTCATTTGAATCATTCAATACAGATAATAAATACGAATAAAAAAATAAAAAATATAATAACAGTGTTGTCATTAATAAAAAAATATATCTAAATTTATTAACATAAATATACAAAAGGGAATACATTATATAATTTCATATAAACTTAGTAATTAAATGATATAGACGTTTTTAATAATAAAATGCAACAAAGAATCATTCTTTTAACTCACCTCACGTGCGTACTGCCTCGATGCCGGACGCGCACTGAGCAAAATCACCCTGAACTGGGACGCCCGCCCTTACAAAGAATAAAACGCAGATTGTACACTCATAATATACACTACAAACATATTAATACATATATAATATATATTTAAACTTTAATTTAGTTATAAACTCAAAATAAACGTATATTGATTGTAAAGAAACCAAAATTAAAGTACCTACATACTTGTTGGAATAAAATACTAGCAAAATTAAATCGAAAATATTAATTGAAAATAACCAGTACATTATTAAAAATATGGTGGATTTGGATATTTTTTTGTAATTCTTATTATAAGTATCCGTATTATCGATAAGATTCGTATTTATCAATAAACTATTGTTACTTGTTGCTCTTTTTAATATTATTGTGTACTGTCTTTGTCACAGCTTATTGACTGAAATTGACAACGCTCTAATATAAGTGATGGCTGGAAAAGCGACCCGATTTATGACCTCAGATGAATTCTACAAACTACTTATTACGAGTATTTCATTAACATATAACCATTTAAATAAATACTATTTGATAAATATAGATAATAAAATTAATAAAAATGAATGCTTCTTAAATATTTATAAACGCTAATGTTCGTTACGTATAAGAAAAAACGTAGGAAAGAATTAAAATAACAACAAAATATTTCTCAAAATGGCGGAACAAAAAAAAAGATCGAATAATTAATTCAATCATAATAAATTTGAAAATAACTTTTAATAAAAGTATAAATAAAAGTTTTCAGTATAAAAGTATTTATCATTGATCTATACCTACAATACACAAAGCTCTCAGTAAAACAAATGGTTCATCTATTTGAGAGTCATCTAATTCTCGCAATTTCTACCCGGTCACGTACAAATAAATACCTACCGGATATCACTTCGTAAATCCATTCCATTTTATATTCTAACACCTTGTAATAGAACTTAAATATGATTGAACGAGAAAAACGTTTTTCGTTCCTACGAAAAATGAACTTCATATTTTTTTTATTTTCAAAACTCGAATGGGATTTTGCATTTCCGATTAAATTGTACGGATTGTTTTTTTTCGCGTAACGTTTATGAAATAAAATCTGAAAATAGAAATTCAATTACAGGTATCAATTACATTTAAGTAAAAAGCAATTTGCAATAAGAGAAACTTTTTTATTTGTGTTATTAATATGAGGATGAATGTTAAAAATATTTGCTTCATAAAGAATAAAGAAACGTGTACTGTCACATGGGTTTTTTTCTCGAAATTTTAATTAGACAAAAAAAATCCTCAAATAGTACCTACTCTAAAACTAATAAAGTTGCATCGAATTCGTATTATAATTATAAACAGTAATTAATTTTCCATTTATAAATAGTTACAAATCAGTGCAAATATGCATTGAAAATAGAAAACTATTTATTCAATATGATTCAATTCAAACGGAAGGCGAGATACTTAATAGCATCCACATATAATAATGGACATGCCTTAGAGATGAGAATTGTGGCACTCCGAAAGAAAGAGAGGAAACGAAGTTTCGGTCTATCTTTATCTCTCTCAAAATAGTACCGAACTTAAGACGTTATGAGCCCCTTCTGTATAATTTATTATTTCCTAATGTCATATATAGCTTTACGTTTAACCTCACTTTCTCTGATTTTTAGTATTAATGACGTATGAATTATACGGTTAAATTAATTTTTTTAATCAATCTGAGCGCCAATCATCTATGAGGAAAGAGATAGTGCTATACCGAAAGCATAGGCTATCTCTCTCACTCTTTTTAAACCAAAAAATTACCGTAGATTATACGCGTACTACATGTCCATTAGTATATGTCGATGCTTAGAGGCATAATATTTAATAACATGACAATACGTACAGATTATATTTGGTCTACTCATCACAACACAGGCCCACAACCCCTTCGCCGTAATCAAATCCTAATTCTAAAGCGCTCCTTCATCCTTGTCATCTATCGCTATAGGACCCATTCTCATATTTACACAATGCTTGGACCCCACTAACCCGTCGAGCCATTCAAACCCAAATTTAAATAGCCGTTCCAAATTTAAATTCCAATTTTAATTATCTACTGTCAATGTCAATGGGACAGCTGCTATAATAAAATTGTCAAAACATGTAACGAAGATACGAAATTAAAATAATTATAAATATATGCGACGTCATTGTATATCTGAGTTAATTTTTTAATGACCTTTCTTATCTTCTGATCCGAACATAATCGAGCCATTTTATAGTTATAAATATCCGTTCGGTAATTATGTATGAAATATTGATCGTCCATGCGTATTAAATATATTAATAATAGTAGTTTATACGTATTTTTATCAAACTTTCATGTTTGAGTCAACAGATTACAAACAACTCAATTATTGGGATTTTCTCAAGTGAAAAACTTTTTTTGAAGTATAATATTTTAATTAATTAACTCCAAAAACTCACTTATAACACAGGAAAAACATTATTGTGTAATTATATTACTACCGTGTAAATATAACTTAAACTAAAACAAGCAATTATTGCAGCACTTTCAAAAATATTCTTAATTTACATCACGAGGGTGCAAAGAAAATAGGCACTTAATAGCAATGTTTATAAATAAATATATATATACATTATAACAAGAAATAATCAAGGCTCCCGCAATATATATTTTATGTGGTTTTAAACAAAGATATAAAAAGGAATAAAAATTTTGACATTACTTTAACGTTAAAAAAGGCGCCAATTTTTTTTAACAACTCGTCCACTCTTTTAAAGAATACCTTAATATTACAAAGCTATAATAAAATATAAGGCATAATATCACTGCTGGTACATACGACCTCAAATAAATATTAATCAAAATAACTTCCCACATAAGATCAAAGCTCATATATGACATTTTTTATATTAGCACATATAATAAATCACTACTCTTTTAAGGAACATGACATAGTATATAAGCCTCGCATAATAATATTAAAATAGCTACATAAATACATACTATTCAGTAATGCATTTAAATAATACTTAAGTGATTTTGGTCCATAGCTTAATTCTTAAGTCAAAGAACTAAAAATATATAAAATTATAGAAGCATATATGTAATTAATTATAATATAATAATGGAATATATACTAGTCAAAACAAAATAAGGGCCACTTGTTTATTTTGACGTTTGAAGCGATCTAATAAATTTTAAGCTATCGGTACCGGTTAAGATTTTTTGTGGCGTTACATTAAGTGTTGACAAACATTATGAGAGTATTTCACTTACTTAATTTTGAAGTGGGTCGATTATGATTTTTTTTTCAAAGTCACTAAAAATTACTCTATTTGAAGTCAACTTTTTGAGTCATTTAAACTGTCGAGTTCTTGGTGAACTACAGGAATTCTCTTTGTTAGTGCGTGATTATCATTTTTGAAGAACAATGCCGAGGATTCGAAGACATATGGACATACAGATCACAACTATGGCCATAACGCTGATTCAACAGGGCCATTCGCAGCGTTCTGTAGCTCTGCAGCTGGGTTTTTCACAGCGAGCAATCTAGAATGCTTGGATTAGGTTTCAAGAGACTGGGAGAGTTACCAGAAGACCAGTATCAAGCAGGAGTCGAACAACCACAGCACAGGAAGACCGCTACATACGGTTAACTGCGCGCAGAGAGCGAGTCGTCACCGCCCGTTCCTTACAAAACAGCTTGCGCCAAGCGACGGGCACCCGCGTAAGTGACCAAACGATTAGGAATCTGTTGCATGAAGACCAACAGTTCTCTAGACGACGAGTAGTGCGAATTCCACTGACATCCGTACATCGTGCAAGGCGATTAACGTTCACTAGGCAGCACCAGGCCTGGAACATTGATGACTGGAACAAGGTATTGTTTACAGATGAATCCAAAGTGAATTTTTTTAGTGATGATTGTCGCATTAGAGTTTGAAAAAGAGAAGGAGAGCGATTTTCGGATGCTTGCATCCACGAAAGTGACAGATTCGGGGTTCCCAACGTAATGGTGTGGGGCGGAATCTCATTATCAGGTCGAACCCAGCTCGTAATTCTCAACGAAGGCACGGTAACGGCTCAACGGTACATTGAGCAGGTCATAAGACTCCACGTGGTGTCATTTTCATAGAGAATTGGTGCAGGATTCCAATTAATGCATGACAATGCCAGCGCTCATACAGCTAGAGCTACTGCCGAAGCACTAGAAGAAGCTAGTGTACAGGTGCTTCCGTGGCCCGCAAATACCCCGGACCTTAACCCTATTAAGCATATGTGTGGGATTTATTAAAAAAAAGCGTTCGTGACACAAATCAACCGGTAACCAACGAACGACAGCTCATCAACGAGAGCTGTCAAGCTGGGAACAAATCCCTCTGGAGACAATACGACACCTGGTGGAGAGTATGCCTTCGAGGCTTGAAGAATGTGTTCGAAAAAGGGGAGGACACACACGTTACTGAAAAAAATAAAAATTTCAACAAATGTTCAGTTTTTTTTAAATAAGACACTTTTTTCATATTGTGCATTTTTGGTTAAAAAGTCGATTTTTCCAAAAAAAAAGAAAGGGATGTTAATTTTAGAGTAATAAAACAATATCTGCTGCTGTTTACATTAAAAATTGATTAAATAATTTAATCTAATCATTTTCATATCCCTAAATCCCATATTTCTTTTAATCCACTAAAAAACATGGTGGCCCTTATTTTATTTTGACTAGTATATATTATAATAATGGAATAAATACTTTTTAGATAGTAACCACCTCTTTATTGGAATTAATTTATTAAAAATACAGATTCTAAATTGGAAATATTTAATTTTATGTATGTGTGTTAATCAGTTGGTTATTTTGTCTGGTGTAATGTTTATTGTGATATCTCCTAAACTGTCTTTATCTATTAAATTTCTATTGAATGTTATAGTGATCTGTCCGTCTGTCTTGTCATTTTTCACTTCCTCGTTCTGAGACTCCCTTTGGTCGTTGATGTAATGTATGGGATAGTGACTTTTCAATTCTCTCATTAATCTGAATTTAGCTTGACATACCGTGCATCTGAAATTAATAATGTTATTATATATACCAGTGTAATATAGAAGCAATATTTGTTATGATTTTAAGCTCCTTTTATAAAAACTACAATATATATTGAGATAGACCTTTGCTTGTTTACATTCAGTATTTGTTTTTCTAATATTGCAAAAGATTTTCCAACTCTAACGAAATAGTCAAAAAGATTTGTAAACTATATTAAGTTGCATTTATAATGTTTATTAGACTCAAATAAAATAGTAGTTAGTTAATCCTTAAAAGATTTATTCTAGAACTTTCACAGTGTACAGTGAATCCATGTTGTGTGTGGAAGAGTATGTTAAATATGTATGTGTGTGTAACTCACTGATATATATTCTGTGCTTGTTATTCTAGAACTTACACAGTGTGTAGTGAATCCATGTGCAATGTGCATGTGTGAGTAGAGTATATGTAATGTTTGTGTGTGTGTGTAACTCACTGTACTGATATATATTCTGTGCTTGTTATTCTAGAACTTTCATAGTGTGCAGTGAATCCATGTGCAATGTGCATGTGTGAGTAGAGTATATGTAATGTTTGTATGTGTGTGTAACTCACTGATATATATTCTGTGCTTGTTATTCTAGAACTTACACTGTGTAGTGAATCCATGTGTAATGTACACATGTGTGTGTGTATGAGGTAGAGTATATGTAATGTTTGTATGTGTGTGTAACTCACTGTACTGATATATATTCTGTGCTTGTTATTCTAGAACTTTCATAGTGTGCAGTGAATCCATGTGCAATGTGCATGTGTGAGTAGAGTATATGTAATGTTTGTGTGTGTGTGTAACTCACTGTACTGATATATATTCTGTGCTTGTTATTCTAGAACTTTCATAGTGTGCAGTGAATCCATGTGCAATGTGCATGTGTGAGTAGAGTATATGTAATGTTTGTGTGTGTGTGTAACTCACTGTACTGATATATATTCTGTGCTTGTTATTCTAGAACTTTCATAGTGTGCAGTGAATCCATGTGCAATGTGCATGTGTGAGTAGAGTATATGTAATGTTTGTATGTGTGTGTAACTCACTGATATATATTCTGTGCTTGTTATTCTAGAACTTACACTGTGTAGTGAATCCATGTGTAATGTACACATGTGTGTGTGTATGAGGTAGAGTATATGTAATGTTTGTATGTGTGTGTAACTCACTGTACTGATATATATTCTGTGCTTGTTATTCTAGAACTTTCATAGTGTGCAGTGAATCCATGTGCAATGTGCATGTGTGAGTAGAGTATATGTAATGTTTGTATGTGTGTGTAACTCACTGTACTGATATATATTCTGTGCTTGTTATTCTAGAACTTTCATAGTGTGCAGTGAATCCATGTGCAATGTGCATGTGTGAGTAGAGTATATGTAATGTTTGTGTGTGTGTGTAACTCACTGTACTGATATATATTCTGTGCTTGTTATTCTAGAACTTTCATAGTGTGCAGTGAATCCATGTGCAATGTGCATGTGTGAGTAGAGTATATGTAATGTTTGTGTGTGTGTGTAACTCACTGATATATATTCTGTGCTTGTTATTCTAGAACTTACACAGTGTGTAGTGAATCCATGTGTAATGTACACATGTGTGTGTGTATGAGGTAGAGTATATGTAATGTTTGTATGTGTGTGTAACTCACTGTACTGATATATATTCTGTGCTTGTTATTCTAGAACTTTCATAGTGTGCAGTGAATCCATGTGCAATGTGCATGTGTGAGTAGAGTATATGTAATGTTTGTGTGTGTGTGTAACTCACTGTACTGATATATATTCTGTGCTTGTTATTCTAGAACTTTCATAGTGTGCAGTGAATCCATGTGCAATGTGCATGTGTGAGTAGAGTATATGTAATGTTTGTATGTGTGTGTAACTCACTGTACTGATATATATTCTGTGCTTGTTATTCTAGAACTTTCATAGTGTGCAGTGAATCCATGTGCAATGTGCATGTGTGAGTAGAGTATATGTAATGTTTGTGTGTGTGTGTAACTCACTGTACTGATATATATTCTGTGCTTGTTATTCTAGAACTTTCATAGTGTGCAGTGAATCCATGTGCAATGTGCATGTGTGAGTAGAGTATATGTAATGTTTGTATGTGTGTGTAACTCACTGTACTGATATATATTCTGTGCTTGTTATTCTAGAACTTTCATAGTGTGCAGTGAATCCATGTGCAATGTGCATGTGTGAGTAGAGTATATGTAATGTTTGTATGTGTGTGTAACTCACTGTACTGATATATATTCTGTGCTTGTTATTCTAGAACTTTCATAGTGTGCAGTGAATCCATGTGCAATGTGCATGTGTGAGTAGAGTATATGTAATGTTTGTGTGTGTGTGTAACTCACTGTACTGTTATATATTCTGTGCTTGTTATTCTAGAACTTTCATAGTGTGCAGTGAATCCATGTGCAATGTGCATGTGTGAGTAGAGTATATGTAATGTTTGTGTGTGTGTGTAACTCACTGTACTGATATATATTCTGTGCTTGTTATTCTAGAACTTTCATAGTGTGCAGTGAATCCATGTGCAATGTGCATGTGTGAGTAGAGTATATGTAATGTTTGTATGTGTGTGTAACTCACTGATATATATTCTGTCCGAGATGCGACCGCACATGTTTATTGAGGTCATTGCTCTGTGTGAATGTCCGCGGACAGTGTGTACAGCGATACGGTCGTTCTCCTGTATGTATCCTTTTGTGGCGAGTCAGGTGGTCCTTGCATGTAAACCTGTAGGAAAAAAAAAACAAAAATTTGACATATTTTATATAATGTTCATTATATCATGAGAAAAATTAGAGCCATTCGAAATTTCGAACATCATCATTTTAAAACACAGCCCGCATAAAGAGAGATGATGACATGCGTGTTATATACTGTTCTCATTTCCTTTCCTTTTTAAGAACTTTAGTTTCTATGTTTATATACATTTAAAAACGTTTGTATACTTTTTTTGGGGTGTTTTTTCAAAGTTGTTTCTGATTAGGTCCTTAATTAAAAATCATATAGAATTGTTCAATAGCAATGATCTTCCCTTAAAAAACGGGGACAGTTGCGGTCTCGAAAAATCTTTTTGAAATCGTTTTTTGTGCAGCTAGCATAGGAAGTTGGAGGGCCTTATTGAGATACGAAGTTACTGATGAACCTGTATATTATGTTGCATGTTACTGTATATTATTTTGCAGAACTTGCAGTTTCTTGACTGATAAACTCTATTCAACTTGAGTGTAATATACCCTCACACTAAACACGTCACACACCACGCCCCCAATATTTTCAACTTTAGTGCTCTCTTCAAACAATTCTTCTACTACCTGGCAATTTCCCAGCTTTAGCCAGGGTCTGCCTTACATTTTTGTGAATAGTTTTTGCTAATTGTTTTTACGACCGGCCGCCTGCCTGACATCAACCCTCTTTTGGGAATGCATTAATCAGTGATGTCTAAATACTCTTAGAAAGTGCATATGACTCTGAAAAATCACATTGGTACTTGCCAAGATCGAACCCGCGCCATCATGCATGAGAGGCGCGCCTTTTAACCACTAGGCCACCACTGACTCTTCAAACAATACACATAATTATTATTTAATACCCACCTCATATTACAAGTGTCACAAGCAAACGGCCTCACTCCTGAATGTATTAACTTGTGTTTCTTTAAAGAGTTAGGTTTAGTGAAGGAGGCGCCACACACACTACATTTGTATGGATGTACGCCTGTGTGTGTTTCTATGTGCTGTTTCATTTGACCTGGAACATATAATATTAAAATTTAATATTTATTATCTCTGCTTATAACTAGGATTAACACTATATTTAGGTGTTAAAAATTTAAATAATGAAGTTTTTTTGGAGTGAAACTTGTTGTGCAACTTATAACGAGGTTGCGTTAAACGTTTAACGCTCTTAGGAGGGGAAATAAAGAGATAGCGAATGATTGCGTGGCGCTCAAACGTATGAGGGCAATCAATTGTAACTTGTAAGTAATGTTAATAAATTTTGTGTCAAAGAAACAAAAAAAAATTGCTTAAAAATCATTTTCCACTCCATTTTTCATTTCTTACACTACGAAGTTTCACTTGTTTCGCGCGAAGGGATTTCAAGTACAATTTATTTATTTTTAGTTAACAATAAATACTATCACTGAATGCATCTTTTATCTTGTAATATAAAATTATATCTTATTTGTAAATTTATAAATAGCATTTAGTGAAAGAAATATTAAACATGAATACATCTTTATTAATACACAGACTACTAAGAAAAGAAAAATAGACTAAGAATAAAATCACTAATTAATTATGGATGAAATAAAATTTTTTATTGGATTGTAATGGTTTCTTAAAGTAAACATATTGATAGTCATTATTTTTATAAGAGCAATTAGTTAAAAAATATTATTTGATAAAGTACTAAATGCTCGTCTAAATTATTAATTGTATTACAAACTTAGCATTACTATTGGAATACAGATATCTATAAAGACATAGGAAGTGGTTGGTTCACTATAAGTAAATATTGAGCCTTATCTTTACATAAGATAGTTTTTTGTCTCTAAATCTTGAAGCTTTTATAGCTTTCAATATATTTGCAAAATTCTAAGTATGAGAAATAAATTGACCATAAACCATTAACCATAGATTAACTTGACTAGGAAGCTTATTTGCCTTTTTGTAAACCATAGAATTTATTTTCCAATAAAATTAATAATTAAACAGCCAAAAAAGTATATTTAATTTTATCAATGATTATAGTTGAGAAAACTAAAAAAATAACTTAACCTTTGGTTGAGAATGTCTTAGGGCATAAACTACAAGCAAACGGTTTAACACCGGCATGCCTTCTTAAATGTTGTCGTAAATTTGAACTGTTAGCGAAACCCTTTCCACATTCAGAACATAGGAAGGGAGTTTCCCCTGTATGAGTACGAACATGATCTTTAAGACTGCACTGCTGGGTAAATGCTGGAAACAAAGGAAATTAATATTAAAAAACCAAAAAGGTTTTAAGGATTTTAAATCTTGTTATATGATTTTAAATTTTAATTAAAGATTATAGTCTCATTATTACTTTAAATAAGTAACTATTTATTCAATGAAACTGTATTAAATTTGTGATGTATGTATTGTGATAATGGCCAACCGAATGACAGCAACTAATATAATAAATAAAGTAATATTTGACATGATATTAATATATTAACAATAATGAGCAAGTGTAACTAATACATATGAGGAGGTGAGTGTTTAACACGTTAGATAGGTACCCCTTAAACCTAAACCTGGGTCGCAAGTCCCAGGTATTGTTGAAGCTCCTCTCCCTACAATGATTGACCCAGCATCTACAAGGTGAATACATTGAATGATGAGAGGTTTTGTCTCACTAACCTTTGCTACAATGTGGGCAGGCATACGGTTTGTATCCATCATGAATTCTCATATGTGCCACTAGCTGGTCTTGTCGTGTGTAAGATTTGGTACACTTTGTACATTGGAATGGTTTGCTAGTAGAATGTAGCCTCATGTGACGTCTCAGTAATGTTTTCAACGAAAATCCCTTACTACAAGTGTTGCACATGAATATTTTCTTACTTTTATCATCCTCTTCATTTTCTAAATTATCTATATATGACTTATCTTTGAGTAATACATCTGAATCCATATATTCAAATTCATTATCATTCACCAATTTTACATCTTTGTTAGAATCGCAGCTGTCCATATGCTGTAAAAGACTTTCGTAGCTGACAAAATCAACGAGACATTTCATGCATTGGTTTGAAATTGTTTGCGTTTTGTGTTCTTCCATATGATGTTTGAATATAGTCTCCAAATAGAAATGTTTCTTGCAAATATCACACACATATATTGTGCTAGATTCGACATGTTGCTTCATATGATCTAACAAGCACGACTGAGTCTCAAATATTAGGTTGCATTCAGTACATTTATATAGATCATTGAAATCTTCTAGTTTCACATCAATATCGGTAGCATTTCCCGATAAATCATCAGGGTTTCCACAATCTGTTACTTCAATGTGTTTACTAATGTGTTTGTTTAATGAAGACCGTCTATGGAAGGATTTATTACAAGTAGTGCATTTGTATTTACCATTTTCATGAGATTCTAAATGATTCAGGAACTTTTTATGCTTATGAAATTCTTTGTTGCAAATGTTACAAAAGTATGTTCTAGATTCAATGTCGTCGTGTGAATATTCTAAGTATTCATAAGGGTTTGTATATCCTACTTCTTCTTTGTATATAAAATCTACCTCATCTTTGATCTTTGATACACACAATGTTTTTAATTCAGTTTCTGCTTTTTGCGCCTTCTTTCGGAAAGAATATATTGTTTGTAAATCTTTCGCACATTCTTCACATACATTTTGTGGTAACCCATCTTCTACGCTGACCTACGACATCGAAAAATTATATTAAAACACCTGAAATTTTACAATAACATTGCACTTCTCGAGAGTTTGAAAAGTTTGCAATAATTTAACTACATAGAAAATTTCATACGCTTATTACCTCTAGTGTATTTGTTAATATTAACACGTCTGCGAGATTTAACGAGCACTTTCCCTCGATTGTCAAGGGCCGAAATAAATTAATTAATGATACGTTACTCTTCATACAAGTACGACAAGTTTTCTCAAAAGGAAACATTTTTAATACATGAACAACGACAGAATTAAAAAGTTTATATGATTTTAATATTAAAAATGCCATACATCGGAATCATTAAGCATTTAAACCATCATAACAGTTTAATTTATAATCACAATAATTGTCAAGAGTTACAAGTGGATAGTGATCAAATTTTACTTTGACAATTAGTTAACTAGAAGCTTGGATTCTGAGCAATATACGTATACCGACGGAAGAAATTTCTTTAGGCTCAAATACGCTGAAAAATGTCGTTAAAATTATAATAATTTTCTTACTCAAATAATGCAAATATTTTGTATTTATAAGATTCCTTTTTGTAACTTATCTTCTTTGTTTTATTGTTGACATTTTGACAACTGAAGGCTTAACATGTAAAGTTGTCAAAAACATCAAAAAGTGAAGTAAGAAAGTAATCTATTTTTATAGCAATAATGAGAATTTATATGAACATTATAATAGCCTAGATACGGATAGCCAGGTTCAATTATCATTTTTATCAGCATGGATGATATAGTGTTCATTGGTGACTGGATTAAAGATAGAGTGTTAGGATCCGGAAGTTTCGGGACCGTTGTTCTTTGGAAACACAAAAATAGTGAGGAAAAACTTGCAATTAAGACGTGTAAATGGGGCGATGAGCTCACTGCCAAACATAAAGAAAGATGGGCGAAGGAAGTAGAGATGCTGCAGAATTGCGACAACCCAAATATCGTCGGTACAAAACCGCTACCACCAGAATTCATCTCGGGTCTGGCTCGCGCAAATCCTTCAAAACTGCCCATTCTATGCATGGAGTATTGCAGCGGCGGTGATTTACGCCAAGTACTTAACAAACCTGACTCATGTGGAGGTTTAAAAGAACCACAGGTACGGAGAATTCTCGGCGATATAGGTAACGCCATGAAATTCTTGCTTAAAAACAAGATTACTCACAGAGATCTCAAGCCTGAAAATATTGTGATGAATCAGCTACCAAATAGTGAACAGGGTCAAGACATTATTTACAAGATAATTGATCTAGGATATGCAAAAGAGATCGATTCTAATTCTGTTTGTGCTAGTTTTGTAGGCACATTACAATACTTGGCACCTGAATTGTTTTACAGCAAGACTTATAGCAACTCTGTAGATTTCTGGTCATTTGGATTGGTAGCTTTTGAAATTATTTGTGGAACAAGACCATTTTTGCCACTTAAAGCACCTGTAGAATGGATGCCACTAGTGAAGAAAAAGAGCCATGATAATATTTGTGTTTTTGAAAGTTTTCATGGAGATGTTACATATTCAAATGAGGTGTTTGAAGAAAATCATATTTCGAAGCCTTTTAAATCCTTAATTGAAGAGTGGCTGAAAGTAGCTTTAGAATGGGACCCGAAGTTGCGAGGCCGTGATTCCCCTTCAAAAGTAACATTTGATATACCATCTGAAAGCAAAGGCGTCGCCAGCAATGTTATAATATACAGTATGCTTGAAGATATATTATCAAAGAAGATCATTAAAGTTTTCTCAGTTCCTACAATATGTAATTTAGCATATGAAATTCAAGATAATACTACCGTTGAAACACTGAAGACTTGGATATGTAAAGATATAAATATTCCTGTTGAAGATCAAATCTTAATATCACAATTGCATTGTACTAATATCAGCAATGATGAATTTGTGGTTAAATATCACAATGAGAACAGTAATACTATGTTATTTGTATATAATAAAAATAATATGCTTGGTGAGATCTCTCCACCGTTTGTCCCGAAATCAGTCCAAAGATGTCTGGAACTACCGAAATCTTTGTACAACTACAGAAACAGCCAAGATTTGTACCACAGTGCCTTCTACTTTGTTATAGCGCAAATGGATATATATGATGCCCTTATTAATGGCATTTTTACTAGAGCAGAGTGCCTGAAACTTGAAAGCAAACAATTGTTGGTAAAACATAATAGTGTTGATAAAAGTCTCGGGAAATTGCTTGCACAATCAGAAATACTGGCGAAGATGAGGAACCAGGGCCAAGAACATATAGAAAGCCTCAAAGAAAATGGTATTGGGACAAATTTCTTGGGTGGATTTGGTAAAATATTTAAAGATTCTGATGAATATCTAGAAAAAATCCAAAAACTGAATAATGCCTGGTCTCAACTGACTGTTAGGTTACAGTCTGCTGCAAGACGCATCAATGAATCCGTATCAAATGATCTTAACGGCTTTGTTACTAAATACAACTATCAAAACCTGTTCTCAAACGCTTACAAAACGTTCATATCACACAAAAAAAGCGATTTTTACAACAACAACAGAGAAAAGGAAAAGCAGTGTCCGGAAATTGTGAAAATATGTTACGACTGTTTGAAGTTGAGGAGTAAAATAATTCAAGATCTTCAGCATCAACAGTTTCTGATAAAACTAAAGGATTTAAGTACCGAGTTTACTAAAATATCTGACATAATAGTTAATGCTACGGATAATACAGAGCGATTAAGCAAGGATTTAGTTGATCTGTTTGATGAATTTAATACATGTGTGTGGTCAACCATAAGTTTAGCAATTAGAGATGCTGATAATTTAGCCGATGTTCCATATAGTGTTGTATCATTTCAGAAAAGAGATTTTAAAATCGGTGATTCAGTATCAAGTAATTGCATCCCAGTAAAGAACAAATTTGATAACACAGTCAGATCTTTGATAACGGAAAGCTTAAAGATTAGACAGAATCACAGCAGTTTGTGTGAGAAGTTGAATTCCCAGAAGCAGTTGCTACAACAATCAATTTTGGACTTCAGTTTTCTCAATGATTGTTAGTAATATAGCCATTAAAATTTAATTTTAAGTGATCAAAGTTGATTTATCTGTGCTACTTGGGAGGCTATGCAATAATTAATGTAAAAATATACTTAGCTATAAGTTATAATGTGCCTTATAATATATTATATTTAAAATTTAAATTCTATTATTGGTTTTGTACTTTAAAAATAATATAAATTAATATGATGAAAATTATTAAAAAAATGTTCTATTTTTTCTAGTCAATGTTTTTACTAATGTTAAAAAGAAAAAAATGTTTATAATAATAATCTATGTATGTTGAGATTTGAAAATAAAACTGTTTCTTGTGACATGTGTTTCAATATTATTTTTGCCTTTATTTTTAAGGATATCAATGAGAATTGCAGCCTGTAAAATTTTCTAGCCACTCAGTAAATTTTTTCATAACATTCTTCAGCTTTGCTATATCTGCCGGAGTGTTCAGATATTCTTCCGGAGCAAACCTAGGTTCTGTCATGCCGCTGACGTGAAGCCATATAGCGAAGACAGCATCATGAATGTTCGCTACTTCCCTTCTACAGAGTCTAGCTGAAGTGATGCAAGTGGACACTAAAGCCTCAAAATTTCCGACCGTAACCGCTTTTGGCCGCTCCTTTCGAGCTGCGAGAAAATAACTCCTCAATAACGTTTCCCCCTCCTCATCTAAAGAGACCCTTACATTCGCTACTATATCTATATATTTACGAATGTCATTCAAAGCTTGCTTTTCCTCATTTGTAACTGCAGACGGATTTATAGCCCCTTCTAGCATGAAATCTGCCAATTCGTCGGCGTATTCTCCACAGTCTCCACGGTAAACAGTTCCAAAAACGCTACCGAAGTTATTTAAAATAATCTTCTTAAAGTCACTACCAAACGCCCATACGGCACACCGTAATTTTGCTTTATTTGGTGGAATATCACCAGTTTCTATGATAGATAATATAGAATGTATCTGTTTTTGACTATAAGCTTGCAGCGGTAGCGGCATAAAACAAATGCCACCTGAGGCGCTGGTCAGACAAGTTGAAATCGATGAATTAGTACCAATATTCGCAGTAGAATCTGCTAGTAAGGCAGCTTCGCATATAAGTCTGCCTAGGTATCCTAGATCATTACCACTTCCTAGAAAATGCAGAATTGGAGACCCACAGTAAACATTAGCCTTCACACTGGCCAGGCTCAGTAATAAACCGATCTTAGCAGTCATAAAATTATTCAAAGGACATATTCTTCCTCCTATAGTCGAAGCCAAACAGTACAAAAATTTCCAAGGAACGCCTTTGCATTTATCAAATAATTCCTTTATGTCATCAGGTATTGAAGAAGTGAATGGTGCTGGCAGAGGAACTACTTCTTGTATGGACCAAACAATGGTCCGTTTTTTCAGAACTGATATATATAGCAGATATTCGTATCCCAATTTCAGTTTCGTCATTAAATCATCCACCATAACAAATTTTCTTGGCAATATTTCTGTATCCAATTTAAACGTTGCATCAACTTTATCACCACACTTTCTTAAGCCACTGTTTTCAAAGAGCGTACTTTTACATGAATAGCATTTTGGCGGCACTTTTGGTATATTACGCAAAATTACCTCATTGTCTTCACACTCTTCGGGACATGACCACACTGTGTGGTAAACATAATTAGTAACACTGGACACATCTAATAATTTTCCTTTTATTACGGTGATGCCATCATAACATCTTAATTTAGGATTTAACAAAAATCTAGGCACACAATTCACTCTCAAATTTACGTCTACCTGGCTCGGTTTAACATACTGAAGAAAATCGCTCTCAAAAGACATTAAGCATGCAAACAAAATATCAGTGCAATTATTATTGAATTTAACCGGTTCATTTATTAAATAGTTTCCCACTTCAGGGAACTTGTCAAGTAAGTCCATCAAATCAATTTCTAAAGAAAACCTAAGGGGTGGAAATTTGCAAACGGTCTTTTCGTTTAATTCGATTAAAAAATCTTCGCAATTGTGTTTCATATCATATAAAACACTCCTGCTATCAAAATAAAGCAACAACTTAATATCGACATCCATTGAGACGATTTCCAAATCTAATATGGTTATTTTAGTAAACATTTCATTTTCCCGCCATTTCATAAATTTAATTATTAAAAAAAATAGTTCAGCCAAATTCATAAAAATATATATATTATGAAATTTCAATGATTAACCAGTAATAAATATAAACATGTTATTTTTAAACTATATTTTTCCTTTTAGTATATAATGAAATCATTAGGAGTTTTTTTTAGAGATGGACTTAACCTATTTCTTGAAATGGAAAAACCTCTCTTGATGACGTCACAAAAACTATAAAGTTTTTTACGATGTTAAATAATTTAAATAATAATAATGCATATTTGTAGGAGAGAATTAAAACTAATAATGTTGGATGTAAAAGATTTTATTAATTTTTACATTATTTTAATCTAATAAGTATATGCCTGTCAATGTTTTTAAGCGTTTTAGTTCCGTCCTAGGCTGTAGGAGCTAGTTACTTAGGGTTGATACTTGATTGTATAATATAATAAAAGTTTTAATAACTCACTAAATACTTAAATTATAGCAAATAAATTTTTTTTTTCGTATTCGATACTTTTTTCTAATGAAATTTAAATATATATCAAAAAATAATTGTAAGCTTTAGAAGATCACCAAGAAAGAGCAAAAAATGCTTAAACAGTCTTCATGAAAAACAGATAAGTATTCGTTATTCAAATTGTTTCTTTACTATTATAAAAAAAAATTAAAAGATTAAACAGGATTATATAGGTAATTATAATCACTCGATATTTCTTCTGTGCCTGTTGTGAAACGTCCCTGAATAATTTCATTAGCATATGTATTACATACAGTAACAAACAATTCGTCCTTATTTATATTCTACAGTCGCTCATGTTAATAACGCCATTATAATATATGAAATAATAGCTTTGTCACACGGCGTCGATCCTCTAATAAGTTATATTTTAATATAATATGTAGTTGCATAAATTGGCGTCAATAGGAATGAAATAATGTTCTTAAAAACATAATTGTCACTTTTTCGTCGTCTACAACTAGTTAATAACAATTTAACATAATTTCACAACTGCCAGTAAACAAACAGTTACATAATCTATCATTGCGGCAGTCAACTTAGCACCCACTACGTTTTATACTTATTTAAATATTTAAACTTCATTTGCCTACGCTATTCTTTTTCAAGGTCAAATATGTAATTATTAAACAAGATATATAGAAGTTAGAACGGAAATGCCGAAACCAATATGTAAATACTATCAGATTTATAGCCGCCATGGTTATATGATGTCCACCTCCTTGTTCATTCATCCTTACAATACCATCGCGCCATTAAGCGTTAGAAAAAAAATGACATTACCAATTCTAAGATGTATTATTACAACAAATACATAGATCTTCAATTTGCGACCTGTAAAAGTGGTATTGTAGCTGCGTCTAATAGATAAAAATTGTGTTTTATCTTAAATCCTTGTATTATCGACAATTTAAGAGTGCCTTCCATGTCGAGATAAACTGATAAGATCTTATAAAAACTTGAATCTTGCGAAATGGGTCCACATTATCATTATTTTACGTAATTTTATGGTGTTATAAAATTTTAAATTACAAGATAATAAAGTATCTTAGTATCGCACCGAACATGAATGCAAACGCCTACATCGTTTTCAATTGTCAAGATGTTGTCATCGTGCTACGATGAGACCAGTTCTATTTGTGAAGTAATAAAAACCTAGATTGAAATCTGCATTATTAAATAACACATTAAATGAAGGATATATCTATAAAAAGCTTTAAAACAAATAGATAGTGTAGATAATTAAATGTATAAAAACCTTGTTTTACAACATGAATAATAAAATTTATATGCAATTAATTAACAATATAATACGATAATTAATTTGGACGCGACAATACATGAACGGAACGGTAAGTGTGGGCGGGGTGAGCGTATTTTTTTAAAGCGCGGGCGTCGTGAGTGGCGTGGGGCGAGACGCTCGCGCATGCGCATTCGATGCCCGATCACGACAAGTACCAGCTGCGTCCGCGGGCGGCGCGCACTCGGGAGAGTCGCGCGCGTCGGGCCCCGCAACCGCTTAGCAAGTATCGCAGGAAAACAGCAAACGCACGCGAAAGATCCCGGATGAGAGAGATTAATAACGCCTTCGAAGCTTTACGAAGAGCGGTCCCGGCTTCGGAGATAACCGGCAATCCCGTGCCGTGCGAGAAGTTGACTAAGATAACGACGTTGAGGCTCGCCATGAGGTATATCACGGCGTTATCTTCCGCGCTCAGAGACTCCAGTCCCGAGTCGGAGCCCGGCTCTAGGCCTGACCGCTGGCCGTCTCCATTGTGTTCGGAGCTGTCCGAGTTCTCCACGGAGCAGGAGACTCCGTCAGAGTTCGCGGAGGACTCTCTGTCGCCCTTCGACTCATTCTTCGCGGAATTCGACTACGAGTATAACATAGACAGGACATTTACGTGACAGTGAAGTGTTTGGACGTTCGTTGGATTTCCTCTTATTCTGCCATATTAATTATTAATTAATTTTATACATAGTTTATATTGTGAGATGTTACGAGATTTTTATTTATTTTAATAATAAATTGTTTTGTTATTTTCTTATATATCTTTTATTAATTTATTACGAAAATTAAATTTAACATCGATAATGATAGTGTGATGACGATTCGTGAATCGTGTTTATTTATAGTGGAATATTTATGATATTACACCATTTTCTATTAAAAACAATCATTAGTGAGACAAGTTCGAAGTTTGTTAGGAGCAAGAAATAATTCACATTTCATTCTCATAAGAACATAATAAATGCATTATTTGATTATTGAATATTTACCTAAACAATAAAACATTGTGTACTAAACTATTGTGCCATATTTAAACAAAAATTATAAAACATTCTCTTATAACTCTATCATAAACTGTAGTATTGAGAATATGTGCAAATTATATTGTCTGGACTTATAACACATTTTTGATTCTTAAAAATAAATTTATCACTTGTTTTTTCGATAGAGTAGGTGTTAAGAAAATATTAAACCTTCAATTCAACTAATGAATCAGACTTGTAATTCATAAATAATATATTCAAAATATTACGAATATTAATATAGCTTATAAAGTATTAGAACATAAACTTAGCATTACTGCCGCCATTTTTAACCCCCTTAGCGAAAAAGGTTTGTAAAGTTAGAAATTGTTGTCTGAAGGTATCTTTTTGGCTTCATAGCTAAATCTTATTATTAAATAAACCAAACTGGGTTTTAAGTTGTTATGGTGCTTAGCTATAATTGTTTAATATATGCCTACTATTGTGAGTTTCAGATCTTAGAAAAATGATGTAGAGCCTTTCCTGCCTATTACTCGATTGAGTGCTTCACATAGCCATGTAATGTTTAAATAAAACTAATGTATCTTTTTATAAACACAATTTTATTGTAAATCATTACATTTCGAAAAAGTGAAGGAAATAAGTTTCGACTATTAAGTATATATATATTTTAATGTCAAATACCCTTATTTAAAACAATATTCATTGTACCCTATTACGTAAACCAAAACAGTATCTAATAGGTAATTATAATAAATCTTAATTCCTCAGACAATTTCAATTTGACTTTCCGTCAATAGTCGATACAACTATTGCAAAGTAATCTAGATATAGGATTAAAAATCAAAACTTACAAATCAAATGTAAAAAAACAATTTTATTTAAACCTTGTATTAATACATCATAATATTATTGTGATTTAAGTCCTCACCTATTCCGAAAATTTGTCTATCGTTCCGAATTATTGACAGATATATTCAATTAAATCTTTGTTCAATTATTTTGTTCAACAGATTATGTTCAGCTTAACAGACTGTTACAAAGAAGCACGTCATTTTTTTTTTAATTAACCATAGTTATAACAAGCTCATATAAACTAAAACTTAATAAAAAATAACTAGACATTACATTAATTATATTGCAAGTAAGACATTAATTTTTGTATTATATTGTTACGGAGGAAAAATTTCAAATAAAACTTTTTCATCGAACCTTTTTGGTTTAGCTCACAAGCAATGATTTAAAGAAATTCAGTTTAAGAAATTTACTGATGCGAATCAGGGAGCGTGGGTTGACATGGTGCCTTGCCCGGGATACCGTCACGGAAGATAAAACCTTGTCGTAATAACCCACGCAGAGAACTCATTGTTCAATGATTGCTTTTGCATTGTTTTGTTAATATTCTTATGAAAGTATTCGGGGGCGTAATTGGTAATTTTTTGTGTTATACATTATAGAAGAAACTTATTTAAAAACTACTAAGTCATTTGTTATACTTTATAGCTATTTTTTATACATTATAACTTTATATAAGTCAATAAAATATTTCAAGATATTTTATCGTAAATACTTAAAATCATAACTATGTATCCATTAAATGTAATTAATAAGGTTTTAATTATAAGTAAACTGTGAGTCAAAAACGAGTTGACCGTAAGAAAAATCCAGTACAAATGAGGTCGTATTTAGTATCGATACTTAATTTAGTTAGACCGCGTTCGTATAAAGTCTTGTCACCAAAGTGTCTATAGGTCATGATTGAAAAGAAGATATACCATAGATAAAAAAAATATATAAAATTTAATCTACTGTTAGCTTCGTACAATTCAGAATTTAGTTTTTGTCAGTCATAGAATAAATTTTGTTAGAAATTAGATAATTAATAATTAATGTTAGTATTTTGTTAAATTTTAAAATCGTGATGATTCTGTTGTATCCCTTCCACTCAACAATTTTTAATTGTTCATAATATATCTAGTTCTTTGAATATGTTGGTTATATTATAAGCAATACTCTTGTATAATGTATTCATCTTCAAATATATTTTTTAATAAGTTTAGTTATATGATGTATTCATATTTCATACAATAGTCACTGTTTATTTATTTTTTATTAATAAAAAAGATTGATGACATCTAATTTACAGAATAAAAAATAATCTTGTCTAAATTTGAAAGAAGTTATTCTAGTAATTAGATTAAAAAAAGAAAAAAGTGTTATTATACTTAGCATAAATCTTAATCAAATAACAATTGCGAAATTAAAATTAATTGACATATGTAACACATTTAATTTAAAATTCAAGATAATATTGTACATATTTATTTAAATTTAAAGCACATATTTTTACGTCTTAATCCAATTATACATTGATGCAAAACTGTTGTTGAAAACCAAGATGTTATCAACGGAGTTGAAATGGAATTAAAAGAAAAATGCAAAATCTTATGCAACGTTATAATGCAATAAAGATCCATTGACCATTTTGGTTTAAGCGGCTTTCCCGCCAAATACGGCCGCCATGACGGCTCATTGAATTATGTGATTAAACCGACATGACTTACTGTTTTTTTTAAAGCTGTCCATCATTTTGTAAATAGCCCCTTGATTGTGTTACGCGAAATAAAAGAAAAGCATTTAGGAATCTCAACGAACGGTACACCTCGGCGAATATAACAGAAAAAATATTACTACCAAAAGAAAGATAAATCAGAAGTTAAGATAAAATTAATATCGCTTTAAATAATACATTATATGAAAATAAATATTAATTGAAATACAAAATACATAAATGTCAACACAGATAATAAAGTCTGAAAACGATTAAAATCTCTGTTTTTTTTTTTAATAAGCCGAGTTCTTGACACACAGAGTAACAAAAATAAGTTGCATTCACATTTATTTGCCATTTAGATTGCAACGAGAAATAATGGACTCGCGTGGGCAAACCGCTCCGTCAAGCAAAATTTTAAAGGATGTTTTAAAACATTATTCATACTTTTTGGTGCACGTTTTACCTGTAGACTTTTACGTTCAGGAATATTTTCAAGTTTATAAAAATGTAATTATTTATGATTCAATATTTGTCAAATTCAAAGACTACATACAAGTACTTAAGTCGGTCATTAGGAGGAAAATTGTATACAATTTATTAAAGTCAAGTCAACTTGTAATTATGACATTTATTTAATTAAATTTAAGTAGTTCTTGCGATAAATGATTCATTATAATTAGCAGCGAGTCTTAAAATAGCTCATGACTGAAGTCAATAAACATAACAAAGTTATAAATTACACTATTTTATAACTATACATATTTAATAAAATATTATATACATATAAACTACGTCGAAATATATATTTTTTGCAACAATATATTTCGCTTACTTTCATTTAAATTAATTATAATATTTTTTATAATTGGCTGAATAACAAAAATCATTGACACATTAATATTATGTATTGTAATTTTTTTCGTTCTAAATTTAAATAGCGCATCAAAACGCGTCGTCTTCAACAGAAGAAAGTTTAAAATCAAGCAACCGGTTCTATTACAATGAACAGCGTAAGTTGATAATGTAATAATATTAAAATATATATTTTATTGTGTACTTACACCTGAGTATATGTTTATAAAGATTGGAAAGGATATTACCAGATAATATAAAATTTTCACTACCGAATTTCTTTGAATTCGATATCTTTTTTAAATTACGTACCTACATGTATGTTCTAAAATTAATTGAGTACTCTTTGGTAAAATTTAAATAAATTAAAAAAAATCAAGACAGGTAGCCAAAAGATATTTGTAATAACATTGAAAAAGTAATTTAATGAAATATTGTATATTAAATTAATTTAGCATACTTAATCCGGTAGTTTATCTTGAAACGAAAATTTGGTTCGCTTACCATTAGTTGGTATCGCCGTACTCTTTACAGATAGTTTACCGTTTTCCATTCACTTATAAAATAAAGTGAGCAGGTTTACGAAGTAAAAACGTTTAACTATCTGTTTAATGTTAACGATTCCGACTCGTAATAAGGTGCAAAATAATGAAAGGACTATATTAAGTTATGAAACTGATTACTAATTGATATAAATTATTAATAATTTCCATTAATTCGTATGAATTCATTCGTAATTAAAAAATATGATAATATAAAATATAATTTTATTTCGAAATTTAAATATATTTTACGTAATAAGTTTCAGGGGAACTACAAAAACGTTTATTTTGTAACATACGCTTACCACAAGTTTGGATCACACTACATACGGAGTGTTCATAGTTTTTTATTTATAAAACTACGTATTTTATAGTAATAACGTATGAAAAACGTGAGACGTATCGTTTGTAGTATAAGGATAAAACTTGTAATAATAGTTGAGATAGAACTCATTGATTTCTGAAGAGAAACTGAAAATTGATGCCGTTGACTTTACGATGTAAACAGGGTTTCTTTACTAAAAACATCACATATACACACACACACACACACACACACACACACACACACACACACACACACACACACACACACACACACACGTACATATTTAGATAAATTTTTCATGTGTATCTTGGAAAAAACAATTCGACAACCATTTTAAAAAACTCAACTAAATATTCAA